CTTTCAATGTTTATGCAATTATGGTTTTTAAAATTTAAATTATATAAATATTTGTGTGTGTGTGTTTCAATTTTTTAAAATTATTTTTATTTATATATATGCTTGTATTGCCTGCATGTAGGTAAGTGCACCCATGTCGTGCAATGCCCGTGGAGGTCAGAAGAGGCTGTCAGATCCCCTGGGACTGGAGTTACGGACAGTTGATAGCTGCCTTGTGGGTGCTGGGATTCAAACCCAGGTCTCCTGCAAAACAACCAGTGTTCTTAACTGCTGAGCCATCTCTCCAGCCCCTAATTTTCTAATTTAAAAGAACAAATTACATATTTGCAATGTGAGAAAGAAGCCATTGTATCATCACAACCCATGTGCAAATCATGTGTGCATATGAATGAAGACTAAATAATATTAAAAAATCAAAAGAGCTGGCCTTGTCGAATGGCTCTGAGGCTCTGGATTGTGGTGTGTGTGTGTGTGTGTGTATGTGTGTGTGTGTGTGTTGTTGTTGTTGTTGTTGTTGTCTTTTGAGACAGGGTCTCATGTAGCCCAGCCTGGTTTCCAATCAATATGCAGCCAACTCCTGATCCTCTTCCCTCTACTTCCCAAATACTGGGATTATAGGAGCATGCCATCACAACTGGCTTCTTTTTTAATTCTTCAAATGCTGTAACAATAGTACTTAAACAGTGACATCTTTAAAAATATTTAATTAAAAAAATAAGTTTATTGGGCTGGCAAGGTGGCTCAGAGGGTAAAGGCACCTGCAGCTAAGCCTGATGAGTTTCGTTCCCCAGGACCCTCACGGTGGAAGGAAAGAAATGACTCCAAGTTGTCCTTGTGTCCCTGAGCTGTGGTTGTGCTGTGTGGTGGGTTTTCAGACCCCCGGCTATTGAAGGCAACCTCTGGGTAGACCCTCCTCAGTTGAGCTGAGTGACAGTTCATACTTACAGATACAGTCTCTCTGGTTCTTGGCCAACTCAAAACCAGGCCGACATTCACAGGCAACACTGCCCCTGGGGGCCTCCTTGCAGATGTGACTACACCCATGATCCTTGTTCATGCAGCTCAGACCCTCTGCAAAACAGCAGCATGTAGCAAATGAGCAGGGGTGCTGCAAGGAGAGCTGCAAGGGTCTCGACGATGAGGTGGGCTGTAAGCTTGCACTCCTGCGTCTCCATCAGCCTCACATTTTATTTCGTTTCGTTATTTTATTGTTCAATATTTTATTTATTCATTTATGTGTATGACTGTATTGCCTGCATACATGTAAGTGCACCCATGTTGTGCAGTTCCCATGGAGGTCAGAAGGGGGCATCGGATCCCTGGAACTGGAGTTATAACAGTTCTCTTAACTGCTGAGTCATCTCTCCAGCCCCTATTTTGTTATTTTTATTTTATCATTGTTTTTTGAGACAGGGTATTGCTATGTATCCCAAGTTGGCCTCGAACTCCTTATATAATCCAGACTTACCTAAAACTCATCATCCTCCTGCCTCCACCTCCCAAGTACTGGGGTTATAGACATGTGCCACCTTTCAGGAGCCCAGCCCCACATGTTAAAATACATCAGGCTAGTGAGATGGCTCATGGATAAAGGTACTTACAGAGAAGCCTGATGACCTCAGTTTGATCCCCCAAACCCACATGGTAGAAGGAGAGACTCAACTCCCACCAGTTTGGAGGTGAGTGTGTCTACTCTATTTTCACATCACTACACGAACATCTGTAGAGGCCTCTCTTATGGGACCCTCAGTTCATCTCTTGGTCCCTCCCTCTGCAGATTCAGAGTGTATGCCTTTGACAGACAGCATTCCACAACAAGAACACAGGAGAAGAAAAGGAATTCCTTTAGCAGGGTATGGTGATACATGCCTTTAATCCCAGCACTCGAGGCAGAGGCAGGAAGATCTCTGTGCAAGGCCAGCCAGGTCTACATAGTGAGTTACAGGCCATCTGTGACTATAGGGAGACCTTGTCTCAAAAAGATTAAATAAATAAATAAATAAATAAATAAATAAATAAATGCAATAAACAGAGTTAGTAACTGGTATATAAATAAATAAATAAATAAATAAATAAATAAATAATAAAAATCCTTTAGCTGCCATGTAACTGCTGTACCTGTACTGTCAGAATCCATCAAGCCCAAACTATGCTAATGACTACAAGAAAGAGGCTCATAGGTGCTGGGTGGTTTAATGGCACAGGAGCACCTGTGTGGGACATCAGCATCCTGCCTCATCGGGAAACCAATCTGCTGAGACCTTGCTGCCTGCCAGCACTCTAAAGAAACACACACCACACTCAAGCATAGTCTCAAGACATGTCGGCTCAGTTAGAACTGGATTAATAAGGATATGTTCACATGTTCTTTCTTGACATTTGTGTAATAGAACTCTAAAACATCCCTGGGAGTGCTGACTTGATTCTCAATGGCTAGACAACCAATCAGACTTGCTAATCCTGGAAGTAAGGCTGCTTTAAACCCAAGTACAGGAAGGTTTTATTCATCTCCTCTGGGATAGAATACTATTCCATGTGGGCTCCTAAAACCATAGGGTCTATTAAAGCAATAAGCCTTCTCTATCCACCTGTGTGTCACGGAACAGTTGCTTCAACAAAGTTGCCGTTTCTATTTCAAAAGACAGTGCAGCAGTTAAGACATCCTCTGCTCCCTTGGGTCTCTCCAAAGACCACCTTGCTTTTCCTTTGACAGTTCTGAGCTGTCTGTAGACACCACACACAATCTGCTGGGATTCATCGGCCCCTACCAAGGGCTGCTGTCAAGAAGCAGAGAAAGAAGTTTGCACTGGTAGCTGCAAAGCTCTCTATCTGTCTACTCTGGCTGGCACTTTCCGAAGATGTCATCACTCCTCAGTACCAGATGGCACAGAAGGTGAAAGCTGCCTGTGTTGGTAGTGTCCTGCCCTCTCCAAAAGACCCAACAAGCACTGAGCTTGTCTTTGGGCTCATGGAACATGTACAGTAACTGCAGCAGGGTGACACTTGCAGGTAAATGTTGACAGTGCTCCAGATACCATGGCAGGAACCCCGACAAAGTAAACTCCTCAAACAGGTTCCCTTTGTCTTCAGGGTCTTTTTTACTCTGCTTATGTGTCTAAGACTTCTGAAAGTGACCCTTACTGCCCAGCGCAGTTCATTTACACAAGTTTGTAAGGAAGACCAGAAGCCATGGGGATACACAGAGAAGCTACCCTGATGTCCTATCATAGCAAGTTAGACCTGACATCACCAGGAGGTGAGGACTTAGACAACTCTGGAAATGCAGATGGCCTTTCAAGAGGTGACCTCAAAAACCTTCACAGTACCTCAACTCAAAACAAGGCCACCACTCACACAAGCCCAAACTAGGCAAAATCCCAGCATAGACATGGGGAAGTAGGTAAGAAACTCCAACCCTACCTGGGGAACTATTGGCAATCGATGGCTGCTGGGAAGGTGAGAATCAGTCTCTTTCAAGGGTGTGACTCTTGGTAGGTTAACCAGGCTCCATTGGATGGACCCACACTGAAGGACATTTCGGGACACAAATTAGACTCCATAGGCCTTCATATATATATGTATATATACATATATACATGTACATATATGATAGAGTTCATTAAATTATATAATACATGGGCATGGGATAGTAAGGAGAGGTGCAAATAGGGGAGGGGCTCTAAATACAATCAAAATATACTGAATAAAAATCATAAAAATTCTGGGGCTGGAGAGATGGCTCAGTGGTTAAGTACAGTGGCTGCTCTTGCAGAGGACCCAAATTCGATTCCCAGCACCCACATGGCAGTTCACAACTGTCCATAACTCCAGTTCCAGGGGATCTGACACTGTCTTCTGACCTCTGTGGGCATTGTATGACACAGGTGCACCTACCTACAGGCAAGCAATACACTTGTCCACATAAAATGAGAATAATAAAATATTTTTTAAAAGAGAAAATTTAAAAATTCAATAATTAAAAATTAAATAAAAATAAAATATAAGTTGTATTACTAATAACAATTTCTTTAAAAAACCAAGGCCATCACTAGAAGAGATGGAGGAATTCATTTCAAACCAGGAAGCCCAGCAGGGGCCTTAGCTCTTCCCTTGGACCTGGTCTGGCAGTCCTGTCTGGAGCTAGGGGTTCACCTGAAGAGAAACAGCTCAGAAACCCTGGAAATGTCCCCCATCCTGGTGTTCCCCAGCCAAGGTTCCACTTTGGGATATTTCTAGAAACTGAAAATAAAATATGGATATGGCTTGAAAATGAGCTGAAAAACAATATCTAGAATGAGAAGTGAGCCCTGAGGAGATGCAGCGCCTTCCTCCCAGCCCAGACACCTCCCTGAAACTCGGACAGGGCAGCAGCACACCTTCCAATTCAAATACACCAGAGCAGACAAGACAAAAGAGGGTCATCCTGAGAGCCTGAGCACCCCTGAATAGGAACAAAGGGGCTTGTCTCCAGCCTACCCCATTACATGGGTGAAAACACAGTCTCTTTATCAGAGCTTCAGGCTTTCTAAGGATAAAAAAAAAAAAAATCAGTAGCTTCAGTTTCCCTCAGTCAACTGCCAGATTCCCCTGTATTAGTAAATAACTATTTAAAAATAACAGTAGTAATATAAAATACTAGCCTGTGGTATTACCCACTTTAAACAAGTTTTCAGGTTTCCACAATGAGTTTTAAAGTCTGTTTTAATACAATTTCTAAGAGTTACTATGCACATGAAGGGAAAAGTCCTAAGGGATGATTCTTAGGCTCTGTTCTGTTTGAAGAACTGAAACCTCAGGATAGAAGGGGCTGCCACTGCAAATTGCTGTAATTGGCTGGCTCACACTGGGGGGAATTTGCCAGACAATCAGGTTGAAACACAACAGAAAATCAGAGTGCTTCCAGACCTCAATTCTTGGATTTTGGTTTTAGTTCCAGACAACTATGTTCATTTCAAATACTCACTGGGGGATCCAAGAATGTCTGAATTGTAGAAAAGTTAGAAAATACAGCTCACGGAGAGGAACTGCAGTGGTGTTTACCTCTGTTCTGAGAAGCCTGGGTCTCAAATCAGTTTAGGGGTGTATAGGAGAGGGGAGGCCAGCTGAGCCAGGGCTCTGGAACACAAGGTAAGTAGGAGACCAAGCTCTGCAAGCTGTTGTGGTGGGTGAAGTCTATCCTGGGGGTATTCAGGCAATGGCTTTACAGGCAAGTAATTTCTTCCCTCCCCAGCCACCAGAAGAGAAAGCCAGCGTGACTTCACTTGAAGCAGGTTTGAGCAACTAAAAGGAGAGATGCTCCAAGATTCACGACATTCAAGCCTGGCCCCTTAACTCATTCCTATCTCCAGTTGTTCTGGACTTAAGACAAAACTTCATTCAGTGCCTACTAGAACCAGAGACCCAGCAGGAAGATGGAACCCAGGGCCTCTCTGCAAGGGCCATGCCTAGCATGAGATAAGAAATCAGGGCCAATATATATCACTCTTTCTCCCTAGAACGCTAGGGTGATAGCAGCCATCAAACCCACATCCCACTACCACCTGTGCCTTCTCAGTGAGTTCTTCTAGATCAGTGCAACCTAAGAGCGCTCTCTCTCTCTCTCTCTCTCTCTCTCTGTCTGTCTGTCTCATTCTCTCTCTGTCTCTCTCTCTCTCTGTCTCTCTCTCTCTCACATCTCTCTCTCCTCTTTGACAATGGGGCAAAGTCATCTTCCATGGAGAAACTCTTGAAAAGCCATGATAAACAATACATTTCCAGAGTTGTGATTAAACAGTGAAAGAACTTAAAATGACCTCACTCTTAAGTCATGGGAATAAATGAGCAACATCATGTGCTATGAGGAGTTGTTAATAGTCTAATATTTAGGGCCCTTAACCTAGAAACAGGCAGATGTATTCCCAGAGAAATGTGGCCACCAGGATGTGATTATTAAGAAAAAGCAGGGAATTAAAAGGATGGCATTCAGTTAAAAATAACCGATTGGTCAGTTGGCCTTGATGCCTCTCCCTCTCAAGGCTCCAACAAAGTCACAGGAATTAAAAGAAAAGGAAAAAAAGATATAAAACTCAAAGCACAGAAAATGAAAGGCAGGCCATCAGAGAGCAGTTTTCTGAAAATTTAGGAGTTAATGGCCCTATGTCCAGGGATGGGGTTCCTTTCCTTCTTCCCTCACCACCCCCCACCCCCAGCCCTAGATGCTTAGAGTGCAAAAATGCAAAACCCAGGGAAGGGCCAGATGTGGCTAGAGGCTGAAAGCAGAACATGAGGCCAGTCCCCGGGGGAGAATCCAGCTCCTACCCCCACCCCTATCCCCAGCCCAGAGCGAGGGGCAGGCTCACACTGGTACTGTGGTTTTCGCATCTTTTTGAAAAAACTTGGCAAATTGTCCGCCTTATTTCTCCAGAGCCTTGTACGCAATGTTTGAAATGTACTCCATTTTAAGATTAGGATCAGAGGGCGTGACCATTTGCAAGGACCTCAGCGCTCCCACAGACCTCAGTACTGAAGTTTCTGGGTGAGGAAGATGAAGGTAAAATAATTTGCTGGAGGCTCCCTGGCCATTCTCGGCTTGTCTGTCCCTGAGCCTCCAAGGCTCTCTAGACACTTTACTTCCTTGCTGAAGTCACTGTGTATACATGGGGGTGGGGACTCTCAGCAGAGCTGAGGTACCTTCTGAGCGGTGAATGCACGTATGCTGATTGTCACTCAGGAAGAAGCCCTCTTTGCAGCGACACTCGTAGCTCCCCATGACGTTGACGCAGGTGTGCTGGCAGCCGCCGTTGTTCTCCAGACATTCATCCACATCTGGAGGGAGAGAAGACTCAACTTTTACTTTTGTGACTGTTCCAAACACCCGGTTTGGCAGCTCAAGGGCTCCTGCTAAGCAGAGGGGAGGTCCCCCTTCTTGTCCCTGCATCACAGAAACTCTCAGAGGCAGAGTCAAAAGGGCCCGGGCATGATTCACCAAGTCCTTATGAGTCTGGGGCTCACCTGGTCAGGCCCCTGGCTCAAACACATGATAATCAGTTCACAGACTCAGATGGAACACCTTCACTTTCCAAAGCACAGTGCAAGATGGGCAAGATAACGCTTAGCTTCTTGAGAATGCCTTCAGGAGAGGAAAAGACAATGTACAAAGGGTTCTAAGATAAGGTGAAGGGTGGGACAGGCAAAGCGGCTTGCCTCTGATTGTGTAGTATCAGCATGGCTTTTAAGGGGAAACTCCTAAGGGATGGGCCCTCAAGATTCCTTCAATTATAAACCAGGAGAGAAGAGATTACAGGCTGAAGGGCCAGTGAGCCCTCCCCTCACACAGAGACTGGGAAGCATGGAGTGTATTCGATAGCAGTGAGTCATGCCATTTGGCTAGAGCACAGAAGACGTGGAGGGAAGTCACAGGAGATACAGCTGGGAAGATGGACTGAGGTCACAAGACCGGGTCTTAAACAGCAGGCAAAGAAGCCGGTTTGGCTTGGGAGGCAGGTGGGAAGCACTGCAATGGGGTGTCACAGCTAGACCCCCACTTTGGGAAAATGACGGCAGCCGTGGCGGAAAAGATGGAAAGCCTGGGGTCTGGCACATGTGTACCCCACACAGTCCCAGGCAGTTCTGGAGAAGGGGATGGAGCTGATGCTTGTGGGGTGTGCTGGGAAGACTGGCATAGAAAACTGTTGGGTGGGGACTGGAGAGATGGCTCTGCTCTTGCAGAGGACCTGGGGTTCAAATCCTAGCACCCACATGGCAGGCAGCTAACACCCATCCATAACTCCAGTTCCAGAGGATCTGATGCTCTCTTCTGACCTCCACAGGCATTGTATGACACAAGTGCACTTACATACATGCAGGCAATACACTAACACACATAAAATAAACATAATAAAATATTTTTTAAAAGAAAGAAAACTGTTGGGTAGACAAGGTGCCCCAGAGAGACTGCCACATAACTATTTTCTCCTTTAGAGGACAGGAAGGAGGTCTTCCAGAAAGAAATGTGGGGAAGACTAGCACTGGGCTCAGAAACAGGAATTGGGATGGGGTTGCTCCCTTCCCTCAAGGTAGAGAGGGATGTGCCTGACAGGCTGAAATTCAAGGCTGGGTTCAACAGGTGTGAGGGAGCAGAAGAGTCATGGGCAGAGAACATGATGGTGTGAGCACAGCTTTGAAAACCATTTACTCCCAAATGAGAGCGCCAAAGACAGGGATGTGGGAAAGCAGAGAGAGGGGGCAGAAAAGGGGAGCTTGAGGTAGGATTCTGGACAGGACCTGTAGCTGAACAGAAGTAGAGTCAGCAGGAGTCCCCAGAGCCTAGGGAAAGAGCTGTCAGAAAGGCAGGAGGAAGCTCCCCTGACCTGTTGCTGCTACCCACTCCAAGGTGGCCTCAGACACCTTCCTTCCACTATGGCCTGAGACCCTGGCACAGCTGTCCTGAGCCACTTAACTCGGCTATGTTCTCAACACCCTTTACCTGTGTGTCTCCACTAGATTGCACTCTCCTTGTGGACAGATTTTTGTTATTATCTAATAATAGATATTATTACATACATAATATAATAATTAGTAGAGCACTGGAACCAGGTAGATGTTCATTAACTGGTCAATGGATGAGCAACAAGCAGCAGAATACAGATCACCAGAGTCAAAGAAGAAATTTCCAGAAGCACCTCAGATACCACAAAGGCTCCAGGAGAAAGCTGATAAAAAAAAACAATTCATCTTCTGCAGCTAATATCTCATGTGCCTATCACTAACTCCTGGGTGTATCTGTAACCAGAAAACTCACATTTAAATATCTGTTATCTGGTTTCAAGCTTCAGATCTTACAGGCATGGGTCCTCCCACACTACCGGGCAATGCTCACCCAAACTGATGGGACTGCAGCCATCCCCTGAAGCCTAACAAATGCCCCACTTATGCCAAAGGGCAAAGGAAGCACATTCCAGAAGAAGCTGTGCTGGGACACCTGGCCCAGGCATTCCTCGGGGAGGACTCATAGTGAGTAGAGCTCTCCTCTGGGCCACAGTCACCCCACTCCACATGCCAACCCCTATGTCTTCTCTCCAAAGCAATCGGCAATGTGTCATTAAGGTGAGTGACACACTGAGATGGAATAAATAAAGTGTGTGTTCTCATGAAAATACTTATCACCAGCTGGCCAATGTCTTCAGACTCTGCCTCAAGGCAAATGCCTGGTCGTCTCCTCCAGAGACACCAATGTAACTGGGTTTCACTGAAGACTGGGCAATGGTTCCCTGCTAAACTTCTCAAGAAAATCGCTACAAAGCCAAACTGCTGGGATAACTGGCCATAAATGGAAACAGTCCAGGTGGGCAGGCTTCAGGGAAGAGCAGCATTTGCTTCCCGGGCCGCAGCACTCGGGTCTCAGAACTGGACGTGGTACTGGATCTGAGACCTGCATTCTGGCTGGTATAGTTGTAGCCAATGGGTGGCTAGGGGACTGGCCACAGAAAAAGTCATCCCAGAGGACATAGAAACCTGCCACTTCTGAGGAATCTTGGCTCTGAATTCTTTCCTGTCACAAAAATGTCTTGCTACAAAGTGTATTGGCCCCAAAAAGGTTCTGTGTGCCGGTCCTACTCTTCCAAATGGACAGCATTCCCTCAGATCCTTCTCCTCTCCTCCTTCTCCTCCTCTTCTTCCTCCTCTTCTTCTCCTTCTTCTTCGACACGGTATCATAAAGTCCAGGCTGGCTTCAAACTTGCTATGTGGCTGAGGATAACTTTAAACTCCTGATCCCCCTGCCTCTACCTCCAAAATACTGGGATTAGAGAGGTGTGTGCTACCAGACCTGTTTTATGGGGTGCTGGGAATCAAACCCAGGGGATTTGTGCATGCTAGGCAAACATTCTACCAACTGACCTACATCCCCAGCCCTCTTGTACCTTCCTTAGGAGGACTCCTTAAGCCGTGAACACATGCTCAGTAGATGTTCCGGGTCTGTGCAAAGCAGATGCTTGACAGAGTCCATGAAGAGACCCCAGGAGAGTGACAAGGGCATTCTGTTGAACTATCTGTTGTTGGCTAAGACAAAACTCCAGGCCTGGCAATGTCTAGGCAAGCCTGTGTTCAGAAAGCCCCTCTCTGCCCTGGCCCAGGTTCTCAGCCCTCCTCCTCCGCATCCCGAGGTTGTGGATTCGAGCACAATAGTAAAGAGCAGGTCAATCATCATGAGCCCTCAAAATGTCACCACTGGCAAACCAAAGGGAATTTCTACCCCCTGAAAATGAAAAACAAAACCAACCAATCCCCAGCATGGATGCTTTCCAGCAAATTACAGCCTTTTCCAAGTTTTTAATATATTTCTGCTCTCGGGATTGCTCTCAATTGTGTCCTTTGTGGTACTGCCTGCCTGGGAAGCATGCAAAGGAATGTTTTCTCCCCTAGCCATCCATCAAGTCTTACTGACAGCTGCAGGCTTGGAAGGCCACATGCCTGTGCACCCAAAGTCTGACCTCTTTCATGGGGGCACGGACAGGAAAGCCCAGCATTTACACCAATATGGAGTGCCAGGTGATACTGTGGTCGACACCAAGATTGAGTCCCAAATGGAAACCATTCTCCTCCTCCACTCAAGAGCACAACCCCTCCCCTCAAAACAGTTCTGCATGAACTTTTCTAGGGACTATGTGTGAATGAGTGTGTGTGTGTGTGTGTGTGTGTGTGTGTGTGTGTGTGTGTATCTATGAAAGAGGGGGGGGAGAGAATATGTTGTGTGTGTTACATGTATGCATTCATGTGGGTATGTGCATGAGTGCAGAGGCCAGAGGTCAATGTCAGGTGTCTTCCTTCATTTTATTTTTGAGTCAGGGTCTCTCACTGGACATAGAGATCAATGATTGGCTAGACTGGCTGACCAATGAGCTCTAGGGATCTGCCTGACTCTGCCTCCCCAGTGCTGGGACTGCAGGTATGTTCCACCATGCCCAGATTTACATGGGTGCTGGGGATCCTAATGCCAACCCTCATGTTTCCATAGTCAGAATTTGCCAACTGGATCATCACTCTGGCACCTCTGGGGTCTTTAAGCCAACCTCTAGGCATTTGATCAAGTGGTCATTCCTACCACATGATAAAGGAGCATTTGAATAGCTCACTCCCAGGCAGAGCCTGGTTCAAGTTGTACCTTAGTTGGCCAGCAGGTCAGCCACATGAAGGGTCATCAGGATAATGTCCTCCTGTACAGCTGACACATGAGCCTAGCAAAATGAACCAGCTGCCAGATGTGCTGCATCCTAAAGACTATCCAACCTCAACCCTATCCATTGCGATGCACAGGGTTGGACCTGGTCATCACATGAGGAGCCAGTGGAAACCCTCTGCAGTCTCCACTGTAGGGACGGAAATGCCAATGGATGTGTCTGCTCTGTGGAATACTATGAGATGCTCATGGAAAGCTTCTGTTTAATTTGTTCTTTCTAGATAAAAAGGAGGGGGTCTAATCTGGTTGTGACCCAAGCACCTACTCAAAGTATTAAGGACAAGAACATACACCTAATTTCAGAATAAAGACACAGCACTTAAAAAAACAGAATCCTTGAGACTGGAGAGATGGCTCAGCAGTTAAGAACACCAGCTGCTCTTGCAGAGGACCTGGATTTGATTCCCAGCGCCCACATAGCAGCTAAGAACCATCCATAACTCCAGTTCCAGGGGAATCCAATGCCTTCTTCTGACCACCCTGGGCATTGCATGACACAGGTGCACTTACATGCATTCAGGCAATACATTCATACACATAAAATAAAAATAATAAATACAATATTTTTAAAAATAGGAAACTTCACAGAAGACTTGAGGTTTAAATGGTGATGTCACTGTCAGAAAATCAACAGATAGTAATGGCAGTGTCCACTCATCTCCTTGGACTAAGGCAATTTATCTATTCAGTTTTCTATCATGTAGTCTAATGTGTCTGATGTCTAAAGGGCCCAAAATCACATTTATCTGATCCCTTGATTCCTTTTTGTCTTTTTAAGTTGAGACAGGGTCTCATGTAGGCCAGCTTCAAACTTGCTATGTAGCCAAGGATGACCATGAATTCCTGATCCTCCTGCCTCTACCCCCTGACTGCTGGGATTACAGGCATGCACCATGATGCCTAGTTTTGCAGTGCTGGGGATGAAACCCAGGGCTTCCTGCATGCTAGGTAAGCACACTATCAACTGCACTATCTCTCCAGCCCCTCCTTTTTTTTGTTTGAATGGGTTAAGTGTTCACTAAAGGAAAAAGGAAGCTTGGGGACAGGCAGAGGGGAACTGCCATGGTCAATGTTTTTCTTACCAAGACAGTTATGGCCATCGTGAGCCAACATGAAGCCATCAAAGCAGGTGCAGCGATAGTTGCCTGGGATATTCAAGCAGTCGTGGACACAGCCTCCGTTGAGCTCACTGTCACATTCGTTGATGTCTGAGGGATGAACCGCAAGTAAGCCCAACAGGTGCCATTTCTTTGGGAAACATATGTAGGCATCTACCTTTTAGCCAGCCCATTTCTTAGAATACAAACATAAAAGTAAGCATGCACAAATTATTCATTGCTGCTGGGCGTGGTGGTGCACGCCTTTAATCCCAGCACTTGGGAGGCAGAGGCAGGCGGGTCTTTGTGAGTTTGAGGCCAGCCTGGTCTACATAGTGAGTTCCACGACAGCTGGGGCTACAGGGAGACCCTGTCTCAAAAAGACAAAAAAAAAAAGAGCAGTTTAATTGATATGGCACATTTACTTGATGGAGTACTATATAGCTCTGAAAGAGAATCAAGAAGATTTCTATGAGCATATTTGGAATATTTCATAGAATATACTGTTAAATGGGAAAAATCAAAATGCCAAAGAATATCTATACTATATTATATTCAAGATGATATAAATACAAACAAAATTTCAGCATGCTTTCTTTCTACAATTGACAAGCCTATCCTAAAATTTATGTGGGAATGAAAAAAGACTCAGAAGAGATAAAACCCTGGTGATGCATCTGGAGGAGCATATTATGAAGCTATACTTATTAAGACAGTGAGTCTGTGGATGAAGAGATCATTGGAACAGAACTGAGGGTGCAGGAAAAAAATTTTCAGCTGTGATCGTTTGATTTTAGATAAAAGTACTAAAGCAATTCCTTGGGAGAAACAATAGTCTTTACAACAAACAGTGCTGGGACAACTTGAGTACTCATATGCAGATGATTTTAGAGCCTTAGTTCATACCATACACAAAAATCAACAAAGATCAGACACCTAAGTGTAAGAGCAAAAACAATAAAGGTTTTAAGGAAAACACGTAAGAAAAATAGTTGAGATTTTAAGTGAGGTCAAGATTTCTTTGCTACAACACCAAATACATAATTAATAAACTTAAGGTACTTTATCAAAATTTAAAACTTTTATATTTCAAAAAACATCAAGAAAATGAAGACAGGCTGGAGAGATGGCTCAGGGGTTAAGAGCACTGGCTGCTCTTGCAGAGGACCCGGGTTCAGTTCCCAGTACCCACGTGGCAGCTAACAACTGTCCATAACTCCAGTTCCAGGGAATCCAAAGCACCCTTCTGGACACGATATGGGTGCACTTACATAGATGCAGACAAAACACTCATACACATAAAATAAAAATAAATAAATCTTTTTTTTCACCACACAATGACAAATCTTTATTCATCCTTGGGGCTGGAGAAAGCCAAGCTCGCTGGTGCTTCACTTGAATATGCTGTCATCTTGAGCTTCTGCCCGTTCTCTCTCAATCCGTTTCAGTTCATCCAGTCTCTTCTTTTCCTCCGCTGCCACCCTCTTCTCCTCTTCAGCCTGGGGTTTTAGGTAACTGTAGCGCTCGGCTCCATAGGCCATGCCGAGGACCAGGGCGGAGTATCGGTCGAGCTTGACGAGCAGAGAGACCTGCACCGGGGGAACCATCTTGTCCGCGACCTTCATGCCGGAAGTCATAAATAATTTTTAAAAAAATTTTTAAATTATTTTCATTTTATGTGTACGCATGTATTGACTGCATGTAGGTAAGTGCACCCGTGTCATGCAACGCCTGCGGAGGTCAGACGAGGCTGTTGGATCTCCTGGAACTGGAGTTACAGACAGTTGTTAGCTGCCATGTGGGTGCTGGGATTCGAACCCAGGTCTTCCGCAAGAACAACCAGTGTTTTTAACCACTGAGCCATCTCTCCAGCTGGTAAAATAAATAAATAATTTTTTTTGAAAAAGAAAATAAGCCGGGCATGGTGGCACAGGCCTTTAAATCCCAGCACTTGGAAGGCAGAGGCAGGCGGATCTTTGTGAGTTCAAGGCCAGCCTGGTCTACATAGTGAGTTCCAGAACAGCTGGGGCTACAAGAAGACCTTGTCTCCAAAAAAAAAAAAGAAAGACAAACCACAGATTACTAGAAAATATTAGCAAGTTATATACCTGATAAAGGGCTTACAAAACTCTGACAACTTAAGGAAGAACAGCTCAATTTTAACATGGGCAAGAGATTTAGATATTTCACCAAAGATGATATGGAAATGACTTTTTTTTTTTTTTGAAGTCTTTTTAAGACAGAGTTTCCCTGTAACCCCAAGTGGCCTGGAACTCACTATGTAAACCAGGCTGAACTCAGCAATCCACCTGCCTCTGCTTCCCAAGTGCTGGAATTAAAGGTGTGTGCCACTACACCTGGCAAAGTTCTTTTTATACTTTACTTTTCATTTATTTTTATTTTATGTGTATGAGTGTTTTGCCTGCATGCATGTAAGTGTGCTCATGTCAAGCAATGCCTACAGAGACCAGAAGAGAGCATTGGAACCTCTGGAACTGGAGTGTCAGGTGATTGTTAGCTGCCATGTGAGTGCTGGAAATGAATCCAGGTCCTCTATAAGAACAGGCACACACGTGCGTGCACACACACACACACACATACACACACATATGGTAATTTAAAATGTTTAATATATCTCATCAAAACTCTCCTTTCACTATACTGGGTATAGACCAGTAGAACTGCTGGATCATACAATAATTTTGATCTTAAACTTTAGATGGGCCACCATACTGTTTTCCATTGGCTATACCACCAACATTCTCACCAATGGTGTATAAGGGTTTAATATCTCCACATCCTCACCAACACTGATTTTCTGTTTTATTTCTGGATCGTGGCCATCAGATGAGGGACAGTTCTCTATAGTTTTGACTTCCACTTCCCTAGTCATTAGCAATGTGAAACATCTTTTCACTAGTGATACTGAGCATTTTTTTCATGTGTTTATTGGCCAGTTGTACCTGTTCTCTGGAGAAATGTCTATTTATATCCTTCGCCCATTTTAAAAATATTTTACTATCTTTATTTTGTGCATGAGTGTATTGCCTGCATGTGTGTAAGTGCACCTGTGTCATGCAATGCCCATGGAGGTCAGAAGATGTTGGATCCCCTGGAGGTGGAGTTACGGACAGTTGTTAGCCGCCATGTCCCACAGTGTGAGTGCCCGCTATGTGGGTGCTGGGAATCGAACTAGAGTCCTCTACAAGAGCAGTCAGTGCTCTTAACCACTGAGTCATCTCTCCAGGCCTCCTCTGTCCATTTTTGAGTTGGGTTTTGGTATTGAGTTTAGAATTCTCCATATAGTCTGGATATTATCCCCTTATATAAATGATTTGCAAACACTTTCTTTCATTCTGTGAGCTACCTTTCAAATAATGTCATTATTGTCTTTTGACACATAATTTTTTTTTTGTCTTTTTGAGACAGGGTCTCCCTGTAGCCCCAGCTGGCCTGGAACTTGCTTTGTAGACCAGGCTGGCCTCAAACTCACAGAGATCTGCCTGCCTCTGCCTCCCCAGTGCTGGGGTTAAAGGCGTGCACCACCACACCCAGCTAACATATAATTTTAAAATTTCATTAAGTCCAATTTTCTGTATTTTCATTTGCGGCCTATGTCTTTGATGTCGTGGTCAATGAATGGTCAAATTAGCAGTTTCTTAAAAGGTTAAGTATAAATTACCATCAATTCTACTCCTAGACATATACCTAAAAGAAATGAAGATATATGTGCATAAAAAGGCCTATACATGGGTTGCCATGGGTTGGCAGAATGCTTGTCTGGCATACAGAAAGCCCTGGATTCACCATGCACCCTGCATGGTGGTGCACACCTGTAACCCCAGCACCTGAGAGGTAGAGGCAGGAGGATCAGAAGTTCAAGATCATCCTTGGCTACATAGCAAGTTTGAGGCCAACCTGGGCTACATAAGACCCTATCTAAAAAAATTTTAAAGGCATATACATGAAAGCATTGGTGATAAGAGCTACAAGTTGGATACAGGCCAGGCTTGATCATATTCATCTGTAATCTCAAAAGGCTGAAACAGGAGATCATAAGTCTAGCGGCAAGACTCTGTCTCAAAAACAAACAAACATGAAATTCACAAAAACTTAATTTAAAAACTTTAAAAAAAATCAGAGACCTGAAATTTTAATCTAGAGAGTAGAAACAGATATAAAGTACAATCATGAATTTAAAGCAAACAATGCCCACAATAGATTTATATGAAGGACTATTATACAATGAAGAAAAGGAATAAGTTTGAAAACAGACTATAGGATGAAACTGCTTCAAAAGCATTACTCAAAATGAAACAATCCAAACATGAAAGATGGTGTATTACATGAGTTCATCTAGAGGAGATTACTAGTTACCAGGGGCTGGAGCTATGAATAAAGTATTTATCAGGGATCTTACTGAGGGAAGAAAATGTTTGAAAACCATATATCTTATGGCTGTAAACTCAGATAATCTATTTAAATCTTTGCTATGAGGGGCTCAAGAGACAGCTCAGTGGTTAAGAGCACTGGATGTTCTTGCAGAGGACCAGGGTTCAATTCCCAGCACCCACATGGTGGCTAACAACCATTTGTAACTCTCGTTTCCAGGGGAATCTGACACCCTCTTCTGACCTCCATGGGCATTGCACAACATGGGTACACTTAAATCCAGGCAATATACTCATACACACAAAAATAAAAATAATAAGATATTTTTTAAATCTTTGATATATACACATAAAATTGGTGACTCTTATGATATACCTTCTATAACTCCAGTTCCAGGGGATCCAACGTCCTCCTCTGGCCCCCTTGGGCACAGGCATGCACATGGCACACACACATACATGTAAGCAAACACGCATACACATGAAACTATTCTAAATTTAAATTTTGTTTGATTTATTTAAATTTTATGTATATGAGTGATTTCCTTCATGTATGCAAGTGTACCACATGTGTATAATACCTGCAGAGGCCAGAAGAAGGTATCAGATCCCTTAGAAATGGAGTTATGGATGGTTGTGAGCAGCCATGTGGGTGCTAGGAACTGAAACTGGGTCCTCTGCAAGAGCAGCCAGTGCTCTTAACCGCTGAGCCATCTCTCCAGCCCCATAAAAAGAACAAATAGTATACAGGCATGTATTTCCTAGCTCTGTGCAGTGAGGCAGCCTGGGAACAGTGATACCCCTGGGAACACCAACTACTCAGATCTGGGCTTCTATATCTGTTTTCCAATCAAAGAAACTAGAGCTCACAGCGAAAAGTGCTTGATTCCAGGGCTGGGAAGCACAAAAGATACGAAGAGTCCAGAGTATCTTGTGATACAAAATATTAGAAAATTCTCAAACAAAGTGGGGAGGATGTCAAAACAACATAGGAAACAATGAGAAGGAGCTTCTGGTGGCTGAAGATGGAACAAGTTACAAGTGAACTATGACAGGTATAAACCAGGATGCAAGAGTATACAGTGGTGTAGACGAGTGAACAGATGGACGAGCAAGAAGGGGCAGACTTCCTTAAAGAACCCAAACTCACAGATGCATAGAGAGGAGTGGAAGGCAAAAATTCCAGGAGACATACACCATGGCAATAACTACAGCTGACAAGATCCATAGCTGGATGCTAACACCAGTGAGCAGAAGATCTGAGGGGAAGTAGGATATTGGCATTGGTCTCAAAATATCTTTCCCCAAGTAGGTTTCCACTGAAAAAGGAGAAAGTAGCAACTTTGCAGTGGAGAACCAACAGACACCATCTTAAACTTCTTTTATTTATCTTTATTTTATGTGTATGAGTGTAAGCGTACCAATGTCATGCAATACTCACGGAGGCCAGAAGAGGGTATCAGATCCCCTGGAACTGGAGTTGCAGATAGTTATTAGCTGCTGGGATTCAAACCCAGGTCTTCTGCAAGAGCAGCCAATGCTCTTAACTGCTGAGTCATTTCTCCAGTCCCAGACACCATCTTAAACCATGTGACCAAGGATGGGATTTAGTGATGGGACCAGGATGGGACGCAGTGACAACATGTATCCTGAGGTGATGAGCTAGGAAGGTCACAGCACTGTTTCTGTGACAACTTTACCAAAAATGCAGATGCCCAATCATCATGAGAAGACAAAAGACATTCTCTTCTATCCTTTTCTGCAATCACATTGTAGCCCAGGGTGGTCTTGAACTCACTATATAGCCAGGCTGGCCTTGAGCTCACTATATAGCCCAGGCTGGCCTCAAACTCATGACAATCTTCCTGTCATAGCCACCATGCCCAGCTCTTCTATCAGTTCTTGTTATGAGAAAACATGAGGCAAAGGAACTTCACAGCATTCACCAAAAGTGTCAGTGTCAGGGCTGGAAAGATGGCTCAGTAGTTAACAGCACTTGCTGCTCTTGCAGGTTCAGTTCCCAGCACCCACAATGGGCAGCTCAAAGCTACCTGTGACTCCAGTTCCAGGAGATTTGACGCCCTCTTCTGGCCTCTGTAGTTACCTGCATGTATGTGGTGCACATACATACATTCAAGGCACATGCAATAAACTATAAATAAATAAATAAATAATAAATCTCTTTTTTAAAAGTGTTGATGTCAGGGCTGGGGTTGTAACTCAACTGGTAGAGAGCTTGCTTAGCAGGAATGAGAGCCTGAATTGGATCCCCAGCACTGCATTATCCAGGTGTGGTGTTTCATGCCTGTAATCCTAGCACTTAGGAAGTACAGGCAGGAAGATCAGGAGTTCAAGGGGTTCCTTTCCTTGACTACATAGAAAGTTAGAGGCTAGCCTGGGCTCTCTCAAAAAAGTTGATATCATAGCCAGGCATGGTGGTGCATGCCTTTAATCCCAGCACTTGGGAGGCAGAGGCAGGCTGATCTCTGTGAGTTCAAGGCCAGCCTGGTCCACATAGTGAGTTTCAGGCCAGCTGGGGCTACAGAGAGACTCTGTCTCAAAAAGACCCAAAAAAAAAAAAAAAAAAAGAAAGAAAGAAAAAAAGACCTCATGAGAGACACGGAAAGACTGACACACGGCCAGACTGAGGGCACAGAAGAATGTGGGACCAGACCTGGAACTGGATTCTGGAGTGGAAACAGAACGGGGAAAAATTATGAAATGTGAATGTTTACAGTGCTTTTTAAAATAAGGCTGTGTCATTGTTAATTTCCTGGTTTGGGTAACTATACTGTGTTTTTGTAAGTTGATGACCTTGGGGTAAGATGAGTGAAGGATATTCATGAGCCAAATTTGCACTGCTTTTGCGACTTTTCTGTTCTAAAATTATTTTGAAATAAAAAGTTCTTTTAAAAAGAAAAATATATATGGGCTGGAAAGATGGCTCAGTGGTTAAGAGCACTGGCTGCTCTTGCAGAGGATCCTGGTTGGCTTCTTAGCACTGGCATGGTGGCTGACAATGGACTCTACTCCAGTTTCAGGGGATCTCACAGATTCTTTTGGCCTCTTCTGACCTCCACAGCACCAGGCATGCACACGGTGCACTTATATACATGCAGGCAAAATACTCATACACATAAATAAAAAATAAATTAAATTAAAAAAAAGAAATCTATAGCTGGGTGGTGCATGCCTGCAATCCTAGCACTTGGGAAGTAAAAGCAGGAGGATCAGGAGTTCAAGGTCAGCCTTGTCTATATAGTTAGTTCTAGGCCATCTTGGGCTACATGAGACCTTGTCTCAAAAAAATCAAAACCAAAACAACAGCATAAAACAAGAATGAGTGTCTACCACATACTAGGCATCTTTGGACATTACATATCATCCAACACCAAGAACTTTACTACTCAGAGACCAGAAGATGAGACAGTAGTTTGAAACATCAAGGTATGACCATTGAGCCATTAAATGGGCATTTATTTAAAGTTTACCTCCTGCCTGAAGCACTTAATGTGTTTTTCAAAGTGCTCACTAAGTAGGATTAATTCTTACAGGTGTTCAGATCAATTCCCACCAGAGTTAAGCCAGAGTGGTAAGGAGTCTAAGGCATCTTAAAGAGAAAGGGGCCTCCCACATGTTTGTCAAATCCAGTTCAGAGGCAGAAGGGCACTTCAGAACTGTGTTCAATGCCTCTCATTAACTTTAAACTTCTGGTATCAGGTGGCTATAAACATAGGATGCCTCACCCAACCAAAGAGGCAGCAGCCAGCTGCAAGGACCTCAGAGATGAGGAGTTGGGGCCGAGAAATAGGAAGGGGACCTGATTTTCACCTGCAAGCTAATTATGTGATTCTGGCCCTATGTCCCCTATCTTCCATCTGTAAATGAGCAATGCAGTTGGCCCAAAGCTCCTTGAAGAGCCCTGTCAGATCCAGCATTCTGTGATTTCCATCCCCGAAAGTGCACAGACTGCAGCCAGTTCTGAGCTTGAGTTCAAACACATCTAATCCCTAGTGGGCAGAGTCCAGACTTCAGGGTCTCAGATCTGGAGCACTAAGGGCTAAAAATCTCCCTCTGCACACAGTTTCCAGGGTGAACTTGCCACTCACACAGGGCAAGACTTCAGTGTAACTCTAAAGCTTGGCTGAGCCCAACACCAAATAGTCCAAAGCCATGAACAGGATGAAGATGCCAGAACCAGCAGAAGACAGAACTCTTCAGCCTTTGGTCATCAGGATGGGAGTATAAACTGTCCCAAGGAGGCAGAGTCATTGCAGCTGTGGCCCCCTGGCTGTCCAGGTAAGCTGTTCACTTTCTGCCCCTGAACAGGGTGGGACCAAATGATGTTAAAGCATCTCATTTCCTTTCCAGAAGCCAGACAAAAAGACCTCCCAGAACCAGATAAAACTGCCATCAGCTCTGGGAAGGACCTTTTTCACAGATCCGAAAAGCATGACTCAGGGGTGGAAGTTAAATTAACCAACATGAGTGAACCCCACAAGACCTAAGGAGGTAGGAGCTTCCCTGCTGGCCCGCTCACCACTGTTCCCAAGTCACTTACCCTCACACTGTCTGCCCTCCCCTTGGTAGCCAGGCTTACAGGAACACTTGTAGGATGTGGGTGTGTTCTGACACAGCGCATCGGCATGGCAGTCATCTAACCCTTGGGCACACTCATCCACATCTGCAGAAGAGCACAGCAAGACTCTGGTATGGTGCCCAGGCCAAATGTGATCTGGCCTTCTTTCATGTCATCTCCCACCAGCCCATACCACCCCACACCACTCCACTTCTCACAAGCCCAAACTGCTGGGTGCCCTGGGATGAACCATGCCATGTCCAGGCCCATTTCCAGGTGCAGACTGTTCCCTCTAACTGGAATCACCCCACTGTTGCCTAGTAGCCTTCAAGACTCAGTTCAGATCTGCTTTCTCTTGAAAGTCAGCCATGACCCCTCAGTGTTGGGTTGTGGCCCACCACAGGGTTCTGTATATTTAGCTCCATTCCTAGCACAGAATAAGCAGGGTTGGAACTGTCACTCTCTTGCCTGTCCTAACAACAGACTGAGACAGTCCCTGATGCCAAACCTGCACAGTGCCTGGCACATGAGGAAAATCTAGTAAACGCCTGCTAAAGGAGCCAAGTTGGCCCCAAACCCATGGAAGAAAGCCAAGGCGGCTGTCTCTCAGCTTCCTTGGAGTTTGGGATACGGAGGTGAAACTTGCTCTGGTCTCTGAGTAGACACCATCTTAAACTCCCAAAGTGTTCCTGGAGGCCTCCGCCACAACCCTAGCCATCCTCACAACCTGCGACCACGCCGTGGCCAAAGCGTTTCCTGGCTCAACACCACTGTGGGTATGAATACCAAAGCAAAGAGTTCTGAGAGTATTTTAAGTGCAGTCAGCGCTGCCCGTCCAGAGTTCGTATCTCTGGCTGCTCCCCATGCACTTAGGCATATTCCAGGTCTTTGCACAGCAGCTGTTCGGCGCACACTCTCAAGTCCCCGGAGCTCAGCCTGCAGCCAGAACGTCCTCCTCCCCCCAACCCAAAAAAGGAGCAAAAGTTGCCACAGGCGCGATCTCAGTTTCCCCATCTGTGCACTGGGGAGCCGGACCCCAGGCCCTAGGCCCCTCTTCCCGGCTCAGCCAGCGAGGATCTGGCCAGCAGACCCCCAAGGCGACACTGGAAGCGACACGCACCGGGGTGGGACCGGTCACCGGCCCCGAGTGGGAGGCTTCGGGGGCTCTGCGGGAGGGTCCCGGGAAGCCGGGCACCGAGCTCCCCGCGCCGCGCAGGTGCGCCCCCGCTGGACACTCACCCTCGGGCGGCGGGGTGGCTCGGCCCCAGCCCGGCGGGCCGGAGACCGTCAGCCCCGGCGGCGGCAGCAGCAGCAGCAGCAGCAGCAG